GCTAATAGCCAAGATTCGTGGCTGTCTAACTGAGCTAATTCCTTAAACCAGAATCTCATTGACCTTTGTTTCCATCTAAAAGGAAGTTTCCTGTGCTGGCTGGGTGGCTGGGTTGGTTGGAGCCACATCCCAGACACCAAAGGTTGAGGGTTTGATTCCTGGTCAGTCAGGGCATGTACTAGGGTTGCAGGTCCGATCCCTTGTTGAGGTGCAAATGGGAGGCAACTGATTATATTCCTTCTCTCTCCCTTCCTCTCTCTCTAAAAATCAATAAAAACGTGTCCTTGGGAGAGGATTAGGAAAAAAAGCCAAGAATTTATTTATAAGAAAAGCAAGTTTCCTATTATAAACCATTTTCTATGAACTTTTAGTGCCACCTATGGACCACAGAGTTCTGTCTAAAATATGGTTTCTTTTTTTTAACCTTTGTAGAGAGGAGCAGTGTTGATGACCGTGACAATGGGGATTACCTCCTGGATATCACGTAGGCCTTAATATTTAATCACATTTACCACTGAAACCTATGCGCTCCCAATGAGGCAACAATGCTTCCCAATGAGAGTATGCATTTAAGAAGTGTATTTTGGTTGAGCCAGTATGGCTCATTGGTTGACCCAGGACCAAAAGATCACTGATTCGATTCCTGATCAAAGCACATGCCCAGGAGTGGGATTGATCCCCAGTGCAGGCATGTAGGAGGAAGCCAATGGATGATGTTTTCCCTCTCATGGGTGTTTGTATCTCTCTACCAGAAACTTGGTGCACGAAATTTGTGCACTGGTGGGCGGGAGGGAGAGTGTCCTCAGCTCGGCCTGCACCTTCTTGCAGTCCAAACCCCTTGGGGATGTCCGACTGCTGACTTGCGGCTAGATGTCCTTCTGCTGCTGCACGGCCTGCTGCCTGAGCTTCAGCAGCTGCTGCATGTGTACAGACTGGATCACCAAGGTCTGTCCTGGAAACACCATTGAGTGAGTGAGTCAAACACAAAGGCAGGCTCACCCTGAGTTTTCTGTGCTTCCTTAAGTCACTGAGTTGTTCAGACTGACTGCCTTCTACAGAGATTCCTTAAACGGCACTGGAATTGGGCCTAAGCCAGCAGTCGGACATCCCTCTTGCATTCCTGGATCCTTTGGGGGATATAGCAGTGCACCAAGCAGCAGGCAGCCAGGGAGGAGCCCGAATTGGGCTGGGTGCCTTGCTGCTTGCCCTCATCCCAGCCCACTGCGCCTGCTGCTGTCACTTTATAGTATTGCTGGGGAGTTGGGAGAGGCTCCTGCCATGGCAGCTGTGCTCACCAGCCATAGGCCTGGCTTCTGGCAAGTGGTGCTCCCTTGTGGGAGCACACTGACCACCAGGGGGCAGCTCCTGCATTGAGTGTCTGCCCCTCCTCATGGTCAGTGTGCATCATAGCGACTGGTCGTTCCCCACAATGGTCACTTGGTCACTTAGGCTTTCATTCTACAGACCCTTCTCCCCCTCTCCCTCTCTAAAAATAAATAAACACTAAATAAGTGTTTTTAGTGGTTGCTTTTTCAGTATATTTCCATTTCCATGCATTTATGACCAGCTACTATGCATCTGACCCTTATCACAAATTATCAATAAAATATATTAAAAAAAAAGAGAAAACTAAAAAAAGGATTAAACAGTGTTCATTTCTCAAATTAAAAAAAAAAAATCGGTTAAACAATTCTCCTAAAGTGGTTTACAAATAAAAGAGAAGAGAACAAATGGTAATTGGAGTGCATGTGGTGTCACAACAAAAGTAGGAATCAAGTGTTTTAGGGCACCCAAAACTCAGTGTAAAGGATTCTGGGCAGGTTTAATTTGGCCAGAGAAAACTTGGAAAGTTATCTAAGACTTCTTAAAAAAAAAAAAAATACTTTTTTGAGTTATTTTCCTTTCTAATTTTCAATTGAATTAAGAAAAAGAAACCTAGACATGATTTTTTAAAGCCCAGTTGTGATTTATGTTTTGATTTTCTGGGTTCTTTTTCAAAACATTCAATATCTCATCTCTTTCTGTTTACATTATCACTTTCCCTCCCCTTCACAGCCAGATGGGACAGAATTGTCTGCAATTGAGGAATCCATTTCCTCTCCACCCTTCTCCCCCTTTCTTCCCCACAACCCACTCTCTAAAGATCCTCCATTCCTTTTGGCTTCCAGGCCTGCTCCATAGAAACACACCTTACTGAGGTTACCAGTCATCTGTCTGTCACTAAATCTAATGGATATTTTTCGACATTTGACAAAATTGACTGTGCTGTTTTCTTGAAATACTATTTTAGCTTACCTTTGACCTCTTGATTCTGCCTGACATCTCAGACTGAATCTCATAGGTACCTCAATCTCTACAATTCTCAAAACTGGATTCATAATGTTACATTCTTAACCTGTTTTCTGTTTGTTTGTTTTTGTTTGTTTTGTTTTCTGTTATTTACCAGCTTTTCCTCAGTTTCACAATCAGGAACATAGAGGAGATCTTGTTACCTCACCTCCCTCATCCCAACCCCTGTCCTGTGTTGCAATCCTCTCTATATTACTTGACTATCCCCCATGTCAGCACACTAATCCTCATCTCCATTATCAACTTCATAGAGCTTTTTTAATCTGCCTACATCCCTTCCGTTCCCATTCCAATGTCATTCACACTCCCTCAGAGTGATATTTATAAAGCAAATAATTGCAAATTCCCTCATGTAATTTGTAAGCCAGGTGCACTCTACTCTTCCTTGCATTTTCTCTTGGCCCACTCCACCCCTCCCCTGTCTCACCCTGAGCTCCAAGCAGTGTTTCTGTTTTGCTGCCCTGGGGCTCTACCTTTTCGGGCCTTGCCTTAGAACACATGTCTCACCTTCAGGCAGTTAATCAGACACATCTTTCAGATTTTTAGAGGAAGCAGCAGTCCCTTTGGAAACCTTTCCTGAGTACTGCAACTAGGTCAAACCGACTGTTCTCAGCGAAACTCACAACCCTTGTTTGTGTGGATTTATAAGAGCTACAGTTTGGGAAGCACCATGGGCGGACTTTGTCTCTGTTCTTCTTCACCATTTTCATCCAGATGCTAACACAGTGCTCGACATATAGTAGGTGCCCAATAAACACTTGTTGAATTAAGGAAGCAAGTTAATAAATTCAATAGATTCCTGAAATCTCATTATTTTATTTTATTTATTTTTTATTTTTTTTTAATATTTTATTGATTTTTTTACAGAGAGAAGGAGAGAGGGATAGAGGGCTAGAAACATTGATGAGAGAGAATCATCATCCATCAGCTGCCTCTTGCACACCCCCTACTGGGGATGTGCCCATAACCAAGGTACATGCCCTTGACCGGAATCGAACCTGGGACCTTTCAGTCCGCAGGCTGATGCTCATTCCACTAAGCCAAACAGGTTTCAGCAAATCTCATTATTTTAACTAGACATAGGCATGTTTAGCTTGGCCAGTGTGCCTCAGTGGTTGAGCATAGACCCATGAACCTGGAGGTCACAGTTCAATTATGGGTCAGAGCACATGCCCAGGTTGCAGGCTCAGTCCCTATTAGGGGGCAGGCAGGAAGCAGCCAATCAATAATTCTCTCTCATTGATATTTCTACCAATCTCTCCCTTTTCCTTCTTCTCTGAAATCAATAAAAATATGTTTCAAAAAATAAATAAATAGAGTAAAATAGAAATAGGCATATTTCTGTTTAGTTTGTGATTGAAGATATTATAAAGTCTGAAATTAGCCAAATTTGAAATTTAAAAATGATTTGCATAATTTTAAAGGACAATTCTAGGATACTTTACCTATAATTTAATTATACATTTTATTTCACCACAACTTACTCAAACATTTTAATAAAATATCTGAAAACTCTCCTTAATAACTGAGATCATGAATGGAGAAGAGTTATTGGGAGACTGGTTTTAACTTGATTTTGAGCTCAGTATAGTGGTGCTAACAGCCTAAGTCATTTGGCCAAATGGAGCTTACAATGTGGTTGTATCCTGTCAAATTAAATATATCCCGCTGAAATGTTCTTATAGTATGTGTGGATGACCTCTTTAAGCTTCAAGGGAAAATACACAAATGAACAGATGTAGAAAGGAAATGAAAACTTGTAGTATAACAGGAAATCTAAATAAGCTAAACACCTTCAGTTATGTAATATTTTAGAAATTAGCTCTTTTGTGTTTATACCTTAAGCTATAACATGCAAGCTCTGGTGAAAGCAACATGTAATTTATATTTGAAAATTATCAAATATATTAAATATTTATGAAAGGCAAGATACTTATTTAAAACAGTTATTTTAAATGGTCCTAAATGTTTATATTTTATGATGATTTTAAGATATATTTTTCTTTTTTATTCAAAACATGGTTTAAATGCAAGAGTTTTTAGTTTTTTCTCTTTGCTTTTTAGGGCTTTTGTTGTTGTTTGTTTGTTTGTTTGTTTGTTTTTTGCTTTTCCCCCCTCATCCCTGGGATTCTTATAAATCTTTCTCTTTTATTTTATTTTCATGCAAGGTACCAGAGAGCCGGTGTTCCTTTCCTTGATAATGTCTGGTCTGTGGCCTCCTGTCTGGCCAGTCTTTCTGAATTAGTTCTCCAATCTCTCTTGTCCTAACGTCTCTATCAGATAGAACTTGATTGCTCCATTACACATGCACCTTCCTACCAACACTTTTCCCCAGTCTTTCCTGTGTGGTGAAGTGATACCTGCATTCACCTTGGTATGTAACTCTAATTTTTATGTTAAAACCATCCATACTCTGTCCTTCAGCCACCTATCTTCAGGAGATTCCAAATCTAGCCACATCTCACCACCTCCACTGCTTCCCTTGAGTCTTAGCCATGGAATATTAATAACTTTCTAGGTGGTCTTTCTGTTTTCTCTTGTCCCCTATAGTCAGTATTTCCTCCCAAATACTGTGGGGAAATTCTACAGTGTTTTTTTTGTACCTTTATTTAAAATCCCGTTGTGTTCCTTCCTGATCAAAAGAGATTTTAGTGCTTGCTTCAGCAGCACATACACTAAAATTAAAATGATACAGTGAGGATTAGCATGGCTCCCGCCCAAGGATGACACACAGATTCATGAAGTGTTCCATAATTTTGTGCAGTTCCTGGAGACAGTTCGACCCTTTGCTTGTTAACATCAAGGAAATTATATGAGTCAGAGCAACATGTGGCATCCAATACTGAAACTGTGGTTTGCACTTCCAAAAAAGAAAATTAATTCCAAACCTCTCACAGAGCATACGAGATCCTACATGATCTGGTGCCTCCCATCTCTCACACTCCTTCCCTATGATTCTTTGGGGGTGTACTCCACCGGTGCCCTATTGACAGTCTTGTGAGGCCCTAACACTCCATGCACACCCAACCTTTGCATGGCTCACTTGTGTCCTTTTCTTAGGTCGCTTCTCAAATGTCACTAAATGCCTTTCTTGAGCATATTATCAAACATCACCCCATTCCACCCCCAGGAGAGTATTGCTCTTTTTCCTTGGCCCATGTTATATTTTATCAGAGTACATAAGAGCAACTGACAGTGTTATCTTCTCCTGTGCAAACTACCCATTACACCACTAGGATGTGAACCGCAGGAGGGCAGGAACTTTGTCTTGATAGAACATAGCTTATTTCATTTCTATGGCATGAAACGTCACATCTCTGAAGCCTTCTTTTGCCCTTCTCAGTAGACTAAGTGTACTGTGTTCTCAAGACACAAGTCGACACTAACAAAGCACTATGTTTATCAGTCCACTCCAGATGAGTACTTCTCTTCCCATCATTCTTGAAATACTGAGGGATTAATACTTTCATTCACCTTTGAAACCCCAGCAGTAAAATTATCCTTTGATTCAGATAGTGTTAATCTCCTTTAAAAATATTCTTTCAGTTTAAAACAACAACAACACATAAGTAATTAGCACATACACTACAGTGTATTTCATTTAGCAGTGGGTGCTGAAGATCTCTTGTGGTTTAAAACTTTGCTACAAAATCATTTTAATGGATTTCATTGAAATGACATTTGGTTTACCAAGTCTATGCTGGTGGACATTGAGTTTGTATAAATAATTCTGCAATGAAGATGAATTGCCACCCTTTTGTACTTACAGGTGTTTCCTTTGGATAAATACCTACAAATAGAATGATTTAAAGACTTTTAATATATAGCAAAAGGTCTCCAGAAGGTCCTATCACAGTTTACTATATTTTAGCTATGTTTGATATAAACACCTATTTTTATGAACCCTTAGTAATACTGAGTTCTATTATCTTGAGGGGAACTTTATTAATAGAATCTCAATGAAATTTTAGATCTAAATTTTTAAAATTTTAGGTAAATTAAATATTGAGTAAGTTTAACATGCTTTTATAAAGATATTGGCCATTATTTTTTGAAATTTGTACACTGCTTTTTTGTGCCCATTGCTCATTTACTATGTCTGACTTCCAGGCCAGAAAGTCAGCTGTATGTGAATAATCCACTTTTTCTTCTCTGAATGGAATTCAGTGTACTGCAGTCTTCCATCCTGCTCTGGCCAGCCATTCCATTTCAGCCTGTTTTGTGGCCTCCTTTCCTCCCAGAGTTTCAACTACTACGTCTGGGAGACTTAATGATGCTCACAAGGCTGGGGAGAAGCTGCTGTCCTCAACTTGGTCTGAGCTGAAGTCTGATGGCTCTACTGTAGCACTTGGGATGGGTTTCAAGGAAGCTTTGCCCAGGTTGGGAGTCCTGGTTCTGGGGCCCAGCCTCGGCCTAGGCATACCACAGAGGCGTCCTGCCCCGCTGAGGTTTTGACACTTCTTCTGGAGGGTGCCCCTGAACAGCTCCCTATCCCCATTAGCCACCCTCAATGTCATCTGATGCCTTTCCATGAACTGAGGCCTTAAGATGATACCATATTCCAGGCATCCTTCAGGAAGCGTCTGCTATGGGTGTTTAGGAAAAGAGGTGCCAGAAGGATTGATTTTCATAGAAAATGAGACTTGAGAGACAATTCAGGGAAGAAAAACACAATATATTATCAGTAAACTATTCAGCCACATTCATTTTTGTATCCAGTATTCTTGTTCTATCATAATGCATCCCAGAAGAAACATTATTCTCTCCCTAAAATATGAATATCATAGTCAAAATTTAGGTATGTGATAATTGGATGAGGGAAATGTTTTGGTAGTATAGATATAAAGTATTTTATCATGAAAGTCACCCCTGCCCTGTCCCTTCCCTTTGCCTCTAATGAAGGTTAGCTCTGGTAGAGTATAGTTAGTGTCTTTAAGGGACATAAGAATTAAGTGATTTGATGTAAATCACTTTGGTTTGTAGGAATTAGTTGAACTGTTAGATTTTTTAAATGATTTTTTTTCTTTTGAGGAGGAAAGACTTTTTACAATGGAATACTGTACATTTATAAAAAAATAAAAAATAAAAAAATAAAAAGAGGGATCTCTTACCCTCTGGACAGCATGGAGGAACCCAGAGAGTATCATGCTAAGTGAAATGTCAGTTAGAGAAAGACAAGTATTACATGATCACACTCATATGTTGGAATCTAAGCAACAAAATAATAAACTGATAAATGGAGTGGACCCAGAGACCTGGAGGCATGGAACAGAGTGTGAAATCTCAGAGGGAAGGCGGGGGGGGGGGGGGGTGGTGGTGGTGGTGGTGGTGGTGGTGGTGGTGGTGGTGGATGGGAAATAATCAACCAAGGTCCTTGTATGCACATATGCATAACCCATGGACACATACAATAGGGTGCTGAAGGCCTGCGACAGGGGGCTGAGATGGGCTGAACGGGGTCAGTGGGGGGAAAAAGAAACATATGTAATACTTTAAACAATAAAAATTATTTAAAAGAATAAAAAATAGAAGGAAAAAAGTGGAAACATGGAGTTACTAAAATATTTTTGGATAAGGGCATCACAAAAACAGTTCTGCTTAAGAAATATTAATCTGTGAAATGAAATTCAGTGAGGAAATCTGAAATCTATTGTTGCACTCTAGATGTGAACTGAAAAAGCTTTTATTTGAGAGAGGAGAAAGCGTTAGTAGTGAGAGTCATTTTGTATGAAAATAGTGAAATTTAGTTGCTACCATGACATGAAATTCTAAAATGGATTTTTGAACTTTGGTAATTAGGAACCACTTGGAGACATTAAACTTGGGAGGACTAATTCTTTTTAAGAGATAGAAGAAAGAAAACCCAAAGAATGGCAGAACTTTATATGCCAGATCTGAAGCTAGTTATTTGTGATTTTATTAGCCATCCTTCACAACTGTGTTCACTTTTCCAAATGAGGAAAAAGAGACTCAGTTATTACAAAAGATACTTATAGTCACACAGTTCAGTAAGTAGAGGGAGCAAGATTCAAACACAGTCTTGTCTGTCTAGGCTAGTTCTCTGAAAGAGAATTGGAAAAATTGTTTGCCCACTGTGCTCTGGGACTAATTAATCCCTTTACTACTGGGTAATATGTTCATTATGTGCCTCCTTGACTAGGACAGGGGGCAAGCACTCTGTTCATTGTTATATCCCTGGTACTCAGAACTGTGTAAGGAAAATGGTAGGCATTCAATAAATAATTTTTAACCTACAAAAATAAAGGAACAAACAAATAAACAAGTCACAGAACTGGCAGAAGAGCCTGAGCTTCTTAACTTACATTTCTCTTATTTGTCACAGTTGACCACAGTCTCTCCCCTCCCCTTTTTCTTTATTTCTGAACCAACACACATGTCCAAAAATCCAAGCCAGTGTACCAAATGAGTAATGGTGCTTGATTTGAGGAGTTTGTACAGCCAGTGGTTACTCCATAATGCTTTTAGGAAATGCTGATGTAATCTAAAAGACAACCAGAAAAACATGCTGAGAAACCTTTATTCTCTTCTCTTCTTAACTATCATCCCTCTAAAGCAATGGTAGTTGAAAGAGTAATTTTTAAAAAATGCATCCTTATTGTTAAAAGTATTGCAGATGTCCCCTTTCCCCCCGCCCCCATCAACCCCTTCCACTCTGTAACTTCCCCCACCAGGCCTACCACACGGTTTTCTGTGTCCATGGGGTTATGCATATAAGTTCTTTGGTTAGTATCTTCCCACTCCTACTCCCTCTCTTCCCTCTGAGATTCTTCCTTCCGTTGCATGATTCCATGTATCTGGATCCACTCCATTTATCAGTTTATTTTGTTACTTAGATTCCACATATAAGTGAGATCATGCCATACTTGTCTTTCTCTGACTGGCTTATTTTGCTTAGCTTACTACTCTTCAGCTCCCTCCGTGCTGTCTCGAAGAGTAAGACATCTTTTTTTACAGTTGCATAGTATTCCCTTGTGTAAACATACCATATCTTTTTTATTCATTCCTCTACTGATGGGCAGGCACTTGGACTATTTCCAGATCTTAGCTATTGTAAATTAACTAAGAACATAGGGAGGGGTGCATGCATTCTTTCTGATTGGTGTTTCAGGGTTCTTAGGATATATTCCTAGAAGTGGGGTCACCGAGTGGAGTGTTATCTTTCAGCCACCGTAATCCCTTCGTAAGAGCTAGTAATGTGTGTATCTACATGGCTTATGAATTTTGTTCATTCTTGATTTTGTATATTCTTGTTAGGATATTATTTTCTTCTTTATTATTTGGCACTTTACTAAATAAATAGTAGTCAAGGCAAAAAGATAGGTTTTTGCATGATGGTCTGATACTTACCCCCAGAAAGAGTGTTCTGTCCTTCAGTGTTTATTTTGTAGCTAGGAACTGGTGGGACCCATTGGCTTTAATAACCTGGTCCCTGGAGTAACCAGAGACCACTGCCCTTTGCGTTCTGGTGACTGTTTTTAATGCTGTATACGATTATTTTGCCAGTTGACTACAGATGAGGATTTTACTACCCTATTTACTATGACATTGATAAATGAACCAGTTGTTTCTCTTATGTCCTAAAAAACTTAAGTGGAAGAAAGTTCACAGATCCTTTTTATCTTTGCATACAATATTTGTACAGACTCTACCAATGATAGTTTTCTTTGTGCATCTTTCTTTTAATATCATCTGCAAGTTCTTTATACATCATTTTCCAGTGATTATTTAAAGCTGACCATGTGTTTTTGAGGCGGTGTGTATAAAAGGACATATTCTTTGTTATTCAGAATTCTTCATTCTGTTGCACACTATATATGTACATATGAAATAATAATTTTAATATTTATTATAAAATTGCAGTGTACGTAAGTATATAATAATGATTTTATATGTGTTACCTCAGAAATTTAATATCCTTTGAACTATTTCATTATCTTCTTTTGAAATAATATGCTTTATTTTTAGAGAAGTGTTAGATATAAAAAAATTGAATCAAATGTACAGATAATTTCCATATGCTTCCTCACCATCTTGCCACCCTTCACATAGCTTTCCTATTATTATGAACTTGCATTAGTGACATGCATTTGTTATAATTGATGAGCTAATACAGACACATTGCTATTAAGTAAAGCCCATAGTTTACATTAGGGTTCACTCTTTGTGTTATATATTCCATGGGATTTTACAAATGTGTAATGACCTGTATTCATTCTTATAGTATCATACCGAGTATTTACTGTGTTCCATCTATCTTCTGGTTTGCAATAGAGAAATTCCAGCTAAGAGATGAAATACACTAAGTGGCCATATTATGATCTGAACGCATAATAATCTGGCCACTCAGTGTATATCCTATATAATAAAAGGCTAATATGCAAATTGTCCCCTCCACCAGGAGTTCGGCCAGCAGGCAAACTGGGCAATTGCCCATGTCCTCTCCCCCTGGCCAGGCTGGCTGGACCCCATGCATGCACGAATTCATGCACCAGGCCTCTAAAAAAAAAAATATATATATATATACATACATATACATACACACACACACACACACACACACACACATACATACACACACACACACACTGAGTGGCCAGATTATTATGGGTTCAGTTATCATAATAATCTGGCCACTCAATGTAAATTTCTGATGGTCACATAGCTACACAAATGTGGGTGCTGCTGTGCCTGCCTGGCACCTAGCTCTTAATTCATATTTTAGACTGACTCATTACAGTAATTTTATCATCTAAGAATCCTAATTTGGTAAGATTATTGCAAATTTTTACTGACTTCATGGAAGTATGATATGTATATGAAGTATTTTGCTTGTGTTTTCCTTTTTTCCCTTTGAAGTTACAATGTTGAAAGAAGTATTTGAGGGAATTAAAATTTTAACTGCTGAATATTTGATGAGATGTGTGAGTTAAAGAGGGCTTCTTGACTGGAGTAGCATTATTAAAGTAAAAGAAGAAATGAACTCAGTTTTCTGATTATTGGGTGAACACTAGCTATAGGTTGCAGAGGCTGTAGGCTAGGTCTTTCCTTCTAGGAAATGAATGAGCAGAGCATGTGTAAGCAAGAATGAATTTTTTAATAGGGGAAAAAACTTAAAGGGGAAGGTATATGGAAAAATGAATTAAAGTTGCATGTAGGGTAGAAAATTAGAGAAAAAAAACTTCTAGTTTTGGAAGATTTATCTTCGTAATAATGGTTTCAAAAAAGAAAAAAAATCATTTCAAGTTCATGTAGTAGGTAGTATATAAATTAGAAGGAACGAGTAGATAAGATTGTGTGTGTGTGTGTGTGTGTGTGTGTGTGTGTGTGTATGTGTGTGTGTATGTGTTTAGCTTGGGACCATGGCTACTGGACACTACCCAGTGCCTCGATGCCACTTGGGATCAGCATAGATGCAGGCAGTAATGTTTATTTAAAGCTATTGCTAGGAAGATAACCTAATTTTGGATTGAATCCTGAATTAGCAGTATGTTAGTCCTGAATGGCAGCAGCAAGTCCTATATAAATTGAATTGTTTGATATTCAACAAATTTAACTAGTTTCTTCATGTAGAAAGTGAGCAATTAGGATAAATCCTCTCCAAAGCTAAAATGGCCATAATTCTTTACAAGGAAGAAGAAGGAATGAAAAGGAAGCAATTGAAGGAAAAATATAGAGTAAACAATAATGATGGTGTTTCTTATTATTCTTTCTATCTATCTTATTCTTTCGGTTTCTCTGAAACCATGTTTTACTTTTCTTTCTTGCTTCCCTGCCTGGCTTCTTCTCTTTGCTCTTATTGAACTTTTGTCTGTTCTTCTAATCTTGGTATTTCCCAGGACTCCTGCTTCAGTCTTCTCTCTCAGTACATTCTCCTTGATCATCTTTGTTCAGATAAGAACAATACATTTTTATGGTGATTATCAAGTAGACATCAGTCCACTTCACTGGGGCCCAGGAGGACAAGAATTCCTCATGATCCGCTGCTGAATCATCCATTTTCTTTGTTTTTCAAGGGTCGTAAGAGTGAGGCTGAAAAGTTCTTCTTGAAGGCTATTGAGCTGGATCCCACCAAAGGAAACTGTTACATGCATTATGGTGAGTGGTCGAGAGTTTTTTTCATGTCCCCCACATTTCCTGCTAATGTTGGCGTGAGCTTTAGGTTTTGCTAGCAAAGAACAATTTGGGAGGACATTGATTTTGTTGTTGCAGAGTTAGCCTCATTCGATAGTCTTCCCTTCTCACTCAAAACTGGTATCTTAAAGAGGGCTATCCACTACGTTGTGCTTTAGTCATTTTCATAGGACTTCGGTAGGGAAGGCATTTTCACAGTTGTTTCACTCAACATCACTGTGGAGTTTTAATGAAATCTTGTTGGGAAAACACCTCTCTCCTGGCCTGATGTATCGTATATAATCCAACTACTGGCTCTCTTTTCATTGTAAACGACAATGCACTTTTTATGTGTCATTTTGAAGTTCTAGAGGTTTACATTTTGGCTTCAAAATCTTGCTTTGTGGAAGATATGGATGCACACCAGCCTCTCCATGCCTGAGATTAAGGTCAAGGGTCCACTGTGCAAAGTGTAAAGGATGGCTCTCTCATGCAGTGTAACCGGGGCCTTAATCATACCGGGGTGAACTTACATAACAACTGTCATATTCCACTCTGTCATTAGTAGTGAGTCATGTGTTAAGGGAGGCGAAGTAATGTAGCTTGTTTGTTGTTGTGAAAGATGTGCTTATTTCGACCAGATTTGCAGTTGGAATGGTTTTCGGTCAGCCACAGAACATTTCCGTTTGCTGATCCCTTGGGGGAAAAAACAAACAAACATGTTTCTTGACCACTGTTTTTTGCTGTGTGTCAGTTATTATCAAATAGTAAACTTAAAGGTAGATGAAAATTAAATCTTGAGGAATTAAAGCTAATATGCTAATACAATATTTAATTTGTCTTTGCATTCTCCAGTGAGTAACAATAAATCAGTGACAGGCTATGAGTGGGAACATGGAAATGGTCAAATGGAGGATACCCTGAACCAACCACAAGCCCATGTGTTTAGTTATATTGTTTGGATATGTTTATAGGTTTGGGATGCTTTATCTTTCCAGCATAACACGGCATGTAATTTCACACAACTTATTGCCTAACCACTTCTGCTTTTGTTTCACTGCCAGGTTGAGATAGCAGTCAACTAATTTAAGTTTGCTACAGAACTTATTATTACAGGTTTTCTTAGATGAAGCATTTTAATTTAGGATTTTCTCGTGGATACTGTTGTGGGTGCCCCTCCTGTGCATTAGAATAGTCCCATGATTATTCACTCTGAGTGCTGCAGGACCTCCTGCCATTGCATCTTATGAAACAGGCTTGTTGTTGTTTTTTCCTTATCTTGCTGCCAGCATTTCCTTTTGCCTCAAACTGATTGTACTTAACTGCATTTCTAAGTTTGTTTCCCCATCATTTTATTATGTGCTTTAGATTTTTCACAACCAATTCCTTTAAACTTTATCATTGCTTCCTTTGAATTGAAATGGAAAATATCACTATTTCATTGAAAAGTTAGTCCCCTTAATCTCCTTTTATTCTGGCTGGTCTGTCTTTCCCCACTTTTACCTTTGTATGTATGTATTATTATTACCTTTATACTATATCATACTTCTGATTTTTTTTTTTCCAGTGTGGTAGTAATGAGTAATGCTCCCATGAGAAATTTTTTATTTATTTTCATTTTTTATATGTTTTTATTTGTTTTAGAAAGAGAGGAAGAGAGAGATAGAAACATTAATGATGAGAATGCCAATTGGCTGCTTCTGCATGCCCCTACTGGGGATCAAGCCTGCATCCCAGTCATGTGCCCTAATCGGGAATTGAACTAGTGACCTCCTGGTTCATGGTCAATGCTCAGTCACTTAGCCACACCATCTGGGCTGGATTTAATTTTAACAGAAAGTGCAACAAATTTATTATTGTATGCTATTTAGAAAACAGTAGTAACACATGTTTACCAAATAAATGTGTTAAAAACTGATTCTTTTTAGTACCCCTGGATTATTTAAAAATCTTGGCATACATCATTATCAGAAGTAGATTTATTTCCTAATGAAGGAATGACTACATAATTCAGTGTAATCTTATAATATTCTTTTTCCTACTCTCGGGTAGAAAACGGAAGACACTCAAGATGAGACATCAAGCCGAAACTGGTTTGGCTCACTGGTAGAGCGTCGATCTGCGGACTGAAAGGTCCCAGGTTCGATTCCAGTCAAGGGCATGTACATTAATTGCGGGCACATCCCCAGTAGGGGGTGTGCAAGAGGCAGCTGGTCGATGTTTGTCTCTCATTGACGTTTCTAGCTTTCTATCCCTCTCTCCTCCTCTCTGTAAAAAAATCAATAAAATATATATATAAAAAAAAGATGAGCCATCGAAAGGAAAAATTATAGCACAAATAATCTATTGCTACAAATGCATAGAAAATCCATAACTGAGTGATTGAAATGTCTATTTCCCTGTGATCAAGTTATTAAAAATGTGCATTTAATGGAATATTAATGATATTTAATTTAGGGGTATATATTTCAAATGACTGAAATTTACAACTGGAAATTTCTTTTAAAATTATCTAACATAACCCATTTGATATATAAATCAAAGTCTAGGAAAATGAAGTTGACATGTGTAAGTTAGTTGTGGGTAACTAAATTTGGGGTTCTTTTATAACCGCTATTGCTTTTTCTGCTATATGTTCTATTTCTTCTCGCAACATTGGTAGATAGGCAAATGGGTGTGTAAATAGATAGATTTTCTTTTTTTATTAGTCGGCCCCTTTGTTTAGTTTTAGATTGTCAAAGTCATATAAGTCATGACAGTTTAACATTCTTAAGAAAAGTTTTTTATTAATGTTAACATGTAAAATATAAATCTAATAGATGCAAGGCATTGTTATGTTTTTAGAAAGTGAATAAATAGGATGATATAAAAAATTATCAGCATATTCTCATTTTTGTAGGTAATTAGATGAGAAGTCAGGTACATGTTGAAACCAAGAGTAAGGCAGAGCATTTTTGAAGAGATTATATTTGAAATCTGAAAGCTTAAGTCAGCTATTTAAAGAATGAGGTAAAAGATTTTCAGACAGAAGAAACAGTAAGTTCAAATATTACAGGCAAGACCAAGTTTACTTTCACAGCAGGACAAGAAGGCTAATGTGAGTAGGAGTAGATTGAGCAGGAAGGGAAAGTGGAGGAGGTAAGACTGTAGAGGAGGCAGAAGTAGAGCTTTGTAGACCAAAACAAGGAGTTTGCACTTTATTATTCTACTGGAAGAGCAGGTCAGGACCAGAGGGGTCAGAATAGAGCAGAGGGAGCTCTGTTGGGGTTTTAGGCCGGAAATGATGGTGGCTTGGACTAGGGAGTGGTTGTGGGAATATATGTACCTTCTTCATAAGATAATTAAAAATAAAGGGGACTTGTTTTCCATTTTGTGCCAATGGAACTGTGCTGCAGTAGTTGTCAGTTGAATTCAGGAGCACTCTCTATTTTAGAATTGGATATGTGTTCCAAAATTGACTGAAAGTTTATTTCATTAGAATTTTTATTCTTGTCCAAGAAGATGCATACTATGAGTTTCATATCAGTTACTATTTATAGATATTCTTGGAATACTTATACCCATGGATTAAATGAATAACAGTACCTCTTCAGCTTAAAAATAAATGTTTAAATGAAATATGCATGTTGTTCTGAATCTTTTCAAAATGCTCTGTTAAATGCCTGTGAAAATGCAGAGTAGGTGAGTTTTGTTCTATTAGAAATTCACTACCCGGGGTGATTTTGTGTGTTTTTTATTTGTTTATCAATGATACAATTGACTTGCAAAATAGCACCCAGTTGGGACTGGACAGGGAGAATTTTAGGAATTTAAACTGGCTGCAATCACAATTAGAAGGCAGTATTCCAAAGCATTATCAATTACTTGTATTTTGAATCTACTAGTTTTGTATCTAGGGAGGAGGGATTGCATTGCAGATTGCCTTTTATTCTTCAGGTTGCTTGTGAGAAAGAAAGCTAGGCAAGTCTAGAAAATGACTCAATAAATTGGACCATTTTATAGAATACTTAGTGGTCTGGTACATGGAATTCATGCATGTGGAGGTGGGGGTCCTTCAGCCTGGCCTGCAACCTCTCCAATCTTGGATCTCTCTCTCAATTCAGATCCATTGGCTCCTAAGCACTCACCTGCCTGCCTGCCTGCCTGATGCCTCTACCTGCTCCCCTGATGGCCCTAACTGCACTCCCCTCCTGGCCTAAACCCCCTAAATGCCTATGTGTTCTCCCTTCCTCTCTGCACCTTCAGACAGGAATGCGGAGTGCTCCCCACTGAGGCCCCGCCTCCATTCTGATGTCCCACTCACTGGGTCCAGGCAGCCCCACAGGCCTGAGTGCTTTCACTGGGGTGACCTAAATAATGGTATTTCTTTGATTAAAAGTGAAAATGCATTTTTGGTGAATGTTTGCAAAATTACCTTAAGGTTACAATTACTGGTAAAATTTCCTGCTTTAGATCAAAACATTTTGTGAAAATGTCAGTGCTTAGTGTCCCAAGGATAGCACAGGCCATTCACAGGTTCATTATTCCTGTCAAGTGCATGTACTTTGGTTGCGGGCACATCCCCAGTGGGAGGTGTGCTGGAGGCACCTGGTTGATGTTTCTCTCTCATCGATGTTTCTAGCTCTCTGTCCCTCTCCCTTCCTCTCTGTAAAAACTCAATAAAATATATTTAATTAAAAAGAAGAGAAATGGATACTATTTTTAAATGTTATTCCATACTATTTTAATTCTTACCTATGTTTTTTTATTTTAACATTCCATGTTACTACACTGTGTCTAATAATTTAATATTATTTGATGTTCTTACCTATGTGTGTTTTATGTGAGATACTTTCCAAAGCCTTTTGGAATTAAAACTTTCTCATGAGTAAAAAGAGAGTTGGGGTCAAGAAAAGGATTCTCTAAGCCACATGTGTCAAACACAAGGCCCGCGGGCCAAATCCGTCCCACCAGGCCTTGCAATGTGGCCTGCACCGCGCTGTCAT